GGATGTTTAGCTGATTGATAGACTGTAGCAAGTAAGAGTATCAACTTAACTTGAAGAATTTCAACGACACTAATAACTAAACTGCATGACACATGTAGCTCGAACACAATATAATGCTATAATCAAGACATTGATTTTAACAATACATCGAACAAAAGGCTGGTAAAAAGACAATGCCAACACTCGAAGGGGCATTAACCGTTGTGATACTATTTGTCGTTGCCGTGGTAAAACGGAAGAAGGTGTGGCTAAAATATAAGAAAGTGTTATGTGCTAAGAGACATAGAAACAAGAAGACTTAATACCAAAAAACCCTGGGAAAAATTGAAGATTAAATTAACATATAAACGGCTTGAGTTGTATCTTGGGCGGTTTGAACAATAGGGAAGTGACGTAGACTTGAGGGTGGATGTTTGATCGACGCAAAGATGCAAAACGAAAAACTTCAGTTTCGCGAAACAACGGATTTGAGGTTGATTCGAGACAGGAAGGGGGCGGATAAGCCACCCACGCTCACTGAAAAGGTTGGTGTGAGTTATTGAGATGTGAGAGGGAATTCCCCAAAGTTATGACGTAAACCGGAGGAGGATTCACCGAAATGTCCTTATCTCGCTATACTCCCATGCCAGTTTTTGGCAAATGTCCATAAATACGAACGCGCGAAGCGAATTCGCCAGAGAGTGATGGGTCGGAGACGAGACAGAAGAGAGGCCATGTGATTGCCTGCCGAAGAGAAGCTCCGACGTCAGTTTTTTGCCGAACTTTACAAAAACAGCAAACCGGATTTGTGCTAAGTTGATGATAGTATCACTTCCGATTTAAATGCGGGCTGTCCTGATGAGTAATTGCATTTAAACAATTGATATAAACCAATTATTTTATGGAGACTGTCATAAAATCAGTATTTACTTTAGTTCAAATTATTTGAGTGTTAATTTTTACCTGCATGTCTTCGCCCTGCTTGGCCCAACCCAACAAGAAAATACCTGTGACGATTTGATCTTGGCTGCCTTATGATCTAAAAATCACAACGTGGGATAAGGTAGGTCTTGATTGAAGCGGTCCCTTCAGTGACCAGCCGCAGTGTTCGGTGTCTTGGACGACCGACTGCGGTGTGTGCACGTTTACAATAGCTATTGCATTTGAGACACCTATTTTACTGAAGAATCGTTTTAGAGATTGATTATATAAATTTCAATCGAAATGGCACTTGGCTGCCTGGTCAGAAATGCCGAAGAGTTCCTTATAAGCAAATGATTATATTTACTATTTCAGATAAGGAGAACAGATACAACCCTTTGATGCCAGTTTGATTTTTTCGAAATGAAAAAAAAAAGGTTAATTCGTGTACTGCTGGTCAATGACGACCGAAAGACTCCTTATAAGGTAATGTCTAACAGGGATTTTAATATAGGAGTTGATGAAAACTTATATTACACTTTCCTCCAATCCAGATGTTTTGGGGGTAAAGAAAAGCAGAATTCGATTAGCACTGGCTGCAATATCTTTTTTTTGTTATTAACAAGAAGTATGGCACAAGGCGAAAAGAGACGGGCAAGGCTATCTTCATATGTCTTTCTATGGTACAGTTAACATCGCTAGGCCAAAGCACGAACCTATTGATTTATTTTATTTAAGGATTATATTTTGAAGATTATTATAAGTCAGAATATATCTATCTATCTATCTATCTATCTATCTATCTATCTATATATATATATATATATATATATATATATATATATATATATATATATATATATATCACACACACACACACACATACATATATATATATATATATATATATATATATATATATATATATATATTTTCTATCATATATATATATATATATATACCTGAAAATCCGTAAAGTGAAACCTTGGTAGGTAGGGTATGGCTCACTAAGTTTTAAACATTTTTTCTCTACTTAGTGTATGGAGTACGTTTATGTTTTTACTTAATATACTCTGTCGGTGTATTTTTTTTTTTATCTTGACTGATAATTTTTTTATCTTGACTGATTGATAATTTTCCACCAACACGAATATCTTTAGTCGTTTTTTTAATGATTTTTCCCTAATATCGGTTGTTCAAATATATTTACAAATTGTATTATCTAGGTCTTTTGCACCCCCCACCGCCGAGTATAGGTTATATATATATATATATATATATATATATATATATTTAAAAAAATTGTGACCTAGTAATATGCATACTTATACTTGATCTGAAATAATTCTACATACTGTAAGTGATTCTAATACATTTACTTGTTCTTAAAAGAAATATAACATATTAAAAATTAAAATGAAAATATTTTTTCAAATCGTAGTTAAATAAAAAGTATTCTAACCTAAACACGCACCCAAAATCTTTAAATATACAAATAGAAAAAAATGCCGTCAGAATTTTTGCCGTTAACAATAATTTTTTTTTAAAAAATCAAGAAGACATGCATTTAATGGATGTCATATTTCATTGAAAAATACATCCCTACCCCCTACCAAAACGTAACTAATAACTGATACATCAAAATACAGCGATAATGAACATGCAGACACCCCTTGTCTGGTTGAATTGGATTTCTCTGTATCCTTGGAAACGGAAATTATGATTTTTGCTGTGTCTTTAAAACCTAGTAATTTTAAAAGTTACTCCAAAATTCGCTTGATGATGAAATGGAACTAATGTCTTTAATTTAATTACAAAATTAAATTCGGAGCTTTTAGCTTCCATTTTTGAAACATGGTTAGAATTGTGTAGCGAAAAAAAAGCATTTTTAAATCAATTAATTTATATATATATATATATATATATATATATATATATATATATATATATATTAGATGTAAGAAATTTTGGAGCTAATAATGTTTTGCTGATACAAGCCCTACTATTTAACCAATAGATGGGGGGTAAGTGACGGATTCAATGCAATGTTATTTGCACGTAAGTGCATATAAAGAACCCAAATTGGAACTGGAACTAGACTCTCCGGTTTCCAATTCCGTGCCTTTATCAATTACACCACCAGCACATCCAAGCTTATAGCACCTGGTATTCTCAAGTTGGTCACCCACTTAGGTACTAACCAGGCTAGACTTTGGTTAACTTCGTCGATCGTACAAGAACCGTTGCTTCTACGTGATATGCCCGTAATCCAATCAGGAACCCAAACACTTCCCCTTTACACAAAATCAACCCATTTTTAATAAGGTCATCATAACACCATAATTTCCCTCTGAAGCAGTGGCTGTTCGGTTAATTAGCACCGAAAATTTTCCTTAAAAGGAAACGGATAATATTACCAGTTCCATTACGAAATCTGTCAAGTTAACCGCTTGAAAGTGGAATGTGGGTAGCAATTAAAAAGCCTATATATCGAGCTATATATTTACGTATATTTTAATACCGTTCTACAAGTCAGGAAAGTTCGATATCCTTAAACTAATTGCCACGGTTGCTTAAAGTTATCACGTTTGACAATTTATGGCACGTAGCGTCTACGGACCTAGCAAAGATAAACTTAACTTGCTTCCCTCTTTTATATATATATATATATATATATATATATATATATATGTGTGTGTGTGTGTGTGTGTGTGTGTGTGTGTGTGCGTGTGTGTGTGTGTGTGTACTGATTTCACGTGGTTCCTGAGCTTTTTGATTATATCGTGCGCACACACAAAAATATATATATATATATATATATATATATATATATATATATATATATATATATATACGTTTGATTTGCTGTTGAAACATCTGATAGGAAAAAAAAAGCTATGAATTTTTTCGCCTTATTGGCTTGCATGTAATTACACCAAATTGCTTCTCCTATACTTCCCACACGACTAAACTACACGCTTATTTCAACATCTTCATTCAAATTATCTTGTAAGTGAAAGATTGCCGTGTTCCCTGAAAGAGTTATGGAGAAGAGCGCGATTTCATTATATCATATGTAAAAAAATACCGCAAAATACTTTCAAAATTAGAAAAAAAAAGACAATCACGAAAAAAAGAAAGAGAACATGCAGTCACATTTAACAAATACACTTGCTTTCCATCATCATACGCTTACCCAGATTCGGTGCCTGATATGGCTTGCTTTCTAATCGATTGTCGGTCAATTGATCTATCTTAAAATTAATCGATTATGTTTTCAAAATGGTCGACTTGATTTCGTTCCTTCGTCTGTATTCATTTGCCGGAGTGATAGGCTTGATTATCATGCCAATCAAAGTTTTTTGTTTTCGTTTTTTGTATTATTTGAAATAAGATTTTAAAAAGACTACATCTTTTTTTTTTAATTTCTTCATCCGACATTTTTTGACCTCATCAATTTTTTTTTCGTAATCTCTCACTATCTATCGATCAGTCTCTCTCCATTAACAAGCTGCGTGTTTTCTCGTTATCTCTCGCAGAGTCTCGTCCCTTTGATTTATCATATCTCTTCTTTCTAACTTCTTTCCCATATATATATATATATATATATATATATATATATATATATATATATATATATATATATATATATATATTTCTTTCTAAATCAATATTAGACATTTATTTCACTTTCTTATTGTATTTCCTTCATATTTTCCCCTCTTTTCTTCATTCAAGTAAATACGTATTGTCTTTTTTTTAATTTCCTCACTAGCATTTGTATTTGAGAGAAGAACACTCACTGTTCTCGTCTTTTCCTGCCATTCAACAAAAGGACTGTTATTTCGCATAAGAAAACACTTTGTGCTTAATGAAATGTTGCTGATCCTGATACATAACCAGATATTCAAGGAGAGACGATAGACTTCTCCCTGCCCTGGATTAAGTACAATACGCTCCTCAGCCTTGTTTTGCAGTCACTCAAGTAGGGAAAAATATAACTTCGATCCTTACTGTTTTGTGTCTACCAGATCGATTAGGTTCGGTGACATTGACCAATAATCAGCCAAGGAGAGGGAGAACTAATCGCGATTCCTTAGTCGCAGCCTTCTTCTTCCCATTCTTCTTTTTCTTCTTCTACAAATTCTTCTTTTTACTTCAAATTCTTCAAATATAAATTCTTCTTCCTCTTCAAATTTTTCTTCTCCTTCTTCAAATTCTTCTTCTTCAAAATCTTCTTGTCCTTCTTCAAATTTTTCTTCTACAAAATCTTCTGCAGATTTTTCTTTTTCAAATTCTCTTCATCAAATACTTCTTCAAATGCTTCATTTCAAAATTCTTCGAATTTTTCAAATTTTTTCTTTTTCAAATTGTTCTTGTTCAAAATCTTTGACAAATTCTTCTTCTACAAATTCTTCTCATTCTTCTTTTTCAAATTCTTTTTTTTCGAATTCTTCTTCTTCAAATTTTTCTTTTCCAAATTCTTCTTCAAATTCTTCTTTTTCAAATTCTTCTTCTTCAGATACTTCTTCCTTAAAATCTTCTTTTTTTCAAATTCTTCTTCTTCAGATACTTCTTCCTTAAAATCTTTTTTTCAAATTCTTCTTTTCAGATACTTCTTCCTTAAAATTCTTCAAATTCTTCAGATACTTCTTCCTTAAAATCTTCTTTTTTTCAAATTCTTCTTCTTCAGATACTTCTTCCTTAAAATCTTTTTTTCAAATTCTTCTTCTTCAGATACTTCTTCCTTAAAATCTTCTTTTTTTCAAATTCTTCTTCTTCAGATACTTCTTCCTTAAAATCTTCTTTTTTTCAAATTCTTCTTCTTCAGATACTTCTTCCTTAAAATCTTCTTTTTTTCAAATTCTTCTTCTTCAGATACTTCTTCCTTAAAATCTTCTTTTTTTCAAATTCTTCTTCTTCAGATACTTCTTCCTTAAAATCTTCTTTTTTCTTCAAATTCTTCCTTAAAATTTCTTTTTCAAATTCTTCTTCTTCAGATACTTCTTCCTTCTTCTTTTTTTTCAAATTCTTCTTTTTCTTCCTTAAAATTTCTTTTTTCAAATTCTTCTTCTTCAGATACTTCTTCCTTAAAATCTTCTTTTTTTCAAATTCTTCTTCTTCAGATACTTCTTCCTTAAAATCTTCTTTTTTTCAAATTCTTCTTCTTCAGATACTTCTTCCTTAAAATATTCTTTTTTTCAAATTCTTCTTTTTCTAATTTTTCATCAAATTCTTCTTTTCCAAATTCTTCTTCAAATTCTTCTTTTTATAATTTTTCTTCTTCAGATACTTCTTTTTTTAAATTTTCTTTTTCAAATTCTTCTTCAAATTCTTCTCTTTCAAATTCTTCGCTGACAGTTTACAATTTTAGCGCAATCTTTTCCATCCTTAAACTCAAATTATCGGAAAAATTTAATTACACTTTCAATAGACTGTCCTTTATATTTTCAGTTATTACAAACATTAAAAAAGCATTTTAACGAGATTGTGTAACTAGATAAGTCATTTGGTTGGCTACGATCATTCAGGTTCTGAAGGGACAAAGTAATAATAATGATAAGAACAAGAAGAAGAAGAAGAAGAACAACAACAACAAGGAGAAGAAGAAGAATATTTTAAAGCAAGTGGGAAAAGGTACCCACAAATACAATCCACACATTACGAAAAACTTTATCTATGTAAAATGTGTGTGATCTTAAGTTCTTGAGAGTTTTTTTTTTACAAAAAAAAATGATCAATGGAAAATGTCATGAAGCTCTTTCTGACCTTAGGTCTCTGGCTAGGAAATATGTATGTTATAGAAATCAAAGGAAATAATAATAATAATAATAATAATAATAATAATAATGTGGCACATGATAACATGAACAATCCCTGTTGTAGTTGGAGCCCTCTGATTGATTGGAAAGGATTCTAGTAGACTCATTGGAGGGATTCCTTGTAGGCCATTCCTTAGAGAAGTACAAAAGATTCTTCTCACGAGGACAAAAATTGTTCTCACGCGTACAGCCCTCACCTTATGAAGGTATTTATCTATGTAATTTTTTTTTTAAATTGTTCTGTGAAAAATGTCATGATGCCATTTCTGACCTTAGATGTCTGGGTAGGACTGGAAGGAAATGTGTATGCTATAGAGAAATAATAATAATAATAATAATAATAATAAGCCAATTCAAGCTGACAGGGAAATAAAAACCAACCGACCTAATATTATCATAAAAGACAAGAAATTCAAGAAGTGTATGATTAATAGCATAGTAGTAACATCTGAGAGAAAGGCCTCTAAGAGAATTATCGAGAATTTGTCCAAATTGAATGACCTGGAGATCGAGATTAACAGGATGTGGTGAATGAAGACTGAGACAGTACCAATAGTAATCGGAGCACTGGACATGATGAGAAAAGGAATGGGTAATTTTACTAAGAGTGTTCCAGGTTACAGCAATATATAAGTTACCCAGAAGATCTCCCTACTAGGAACGTCCCATATAATAATAAACGTGCTGCTAATTAAAATGAAAATTCTCCTATACGGTCTAAGGATTATAGTTTTGTCCTCGGCTCTACAGGATACAAAGCAGGAAACATAATATACAATAATAATAATAATAATAATAATGATAATAATAATACCACCGGTGTAAATAAAGCATTTAAAAATAACTAAATCATAAAAGAACCACAATAAAAATGAATAATATTTCTATAATTTTAATATTTTCGCACCATGTACCATGTCACTTCAGGAAGTTGACGATCATGGCTCTCCACAATTTCCTGTCCTAAATAGGTGTTATTAAATGTTCTGTTTTTTTTTTATTTCCTCTAACCATGATCTACTAACTATTTACAAAGGTCTGTTAGTTAGGTATTCTCCATTTTCCTCTATCCCTTCGCATTCAATATATCCTGTGAGTGTCAAATTTGCTATGTTCTCTTTCCTCATTATGTTCCTGTTGTTACCTAGGAAGGGTTACTGAATGAAAAATAACGAGAAAAAAAAGGTTGGAAATGAAATGGCAATCTTTATAACATCAGCAAAATACAATACTCGCCAGCGGCAGGATGTAGGTAAACCACTGCTAGTGGTCGATCAGGTAGACAGCATATTACCCCCCCCACTTCTTACAATAATGTCTAACGTATTTATGACGACTGGGACATACCCATTAGTGTTTATAGGTAAGGTATATAATAAAAGTTCCCTAGAAATTTCAACTATTTCTATCTTATGTCAAATATAAATGCCCTTCTTCCCACGTTCTGTAAAACTTACTCGTTGCTCACATGTTCAATCCATGGTATTTTCTGCATACTTAAAAATGTTTATTTAGGGCCTGTATGCGATTACTGTTAATATCAAGTACCGAATATACAAAATAACAATAAGGTATAGTTCATCTGTGGAAGGCGGGCAGGGAGAGCTTTTTCCCCAAATTGCTTAAAACTATCACATAGATCCAACTGACTTTGAGTTATTGTGGATCAAAACCCCTGCAGAGTGATTTTCGCATTCAGTGTTTTCTTTCAACTATATTTCACCTTCCTCTACCAAGGTTAAAATAGTCAGTCTGCTCTGCGTTTTCACCCATAACTTGAGAAAAGCAGAAGACAAAGATTCGTGTATTTACCAAGAATATTTGCCCAAAATGAACACAAATAACTCTTGAAGCAATTTGAATTCGCTTCAACGAAGCCATTTCCCGATTCGATAACCAGCTTTTTGCTTAGGACCGTAGTTAATATTCTGTAAGCGTTATTTATTCAACAGTAGCCCTCTGGTAAATTTAGCTAATCTTAACCGTCAACATACGTCATTACAAGGGAGTTAGTTTATACCCCTTGGACAGAAACACTCTAGGAATAGAGAATAAAGAGATTCCAAAAAGGCTGCCAGGCATTTTCTCATGTTCCCTATCAGAACACTCTTAATCCACAAGTAATCCACTAATCAGCTACTGTTAACTATTATTGAGTAACATATATAAAGTCTCGAGTGCGTGTTCGCTCTTATTTGACACAAATAAGTGAACCCACAGGAAAAAAAAACACAATATGTTAGTGATATTGAACCTTAAGCAGTAATCTAGTAGAATTTCTGGTACTAAAGAGTAAAAACTGAAAATGCAGTGGGATTGTATGTGATTGTGATGACACTATGTGTGGCACAAACTAGATCACTACAGTTGTTCTTTCTTAGTGGGCCGCTCACGTTGTGTCTCCCCCGTTGCTTCTCAGGCCACGACATCAAAGTCGCACTGTGCATGTTTCGTACAGAAAGTCAAATCAGTCGTTTCATACATTGAGACTCATATAGTCTGTACTGGCTATGTTTATTGTCCCCAAAAATAAAATTTCGCAGACTATTTCTAATTGACTGATGGAAGTGAGTAGTGAGAGAAATCCTTGTATCCATGAGTCTTTCAGAATAATGTATTCGCTGCTATAAAAATCGTTCTCACTGAACATTTTGGGAGGAAAAATCTCTCTTTTTACCAGAAAAGTTCGTGTTCTTGCTATTTGCTAATTCAGTAATCTTATAGAAAAGCACCTAAGTGTCATGCTCCTTTTATATTTTTTGCAGAACTTCTAACCGTCAACATAAGATGACATATATATATATGTGTTTATATATATATATATATATATATATATATATATAGATAGATAGATAGATAGATAGATAGATAGATATTCGACTCTCCCGTCGAATTCGAATCATGAGGGTCAAGCAGAACAGTTTCTAGGAAACGACAACCAGACACCAGTACATGAGATTTGATTATAGTGGTGAATGTTTTATGCAGGAACATCCACACGTTTTGAAGGGCCGAATACCGGGACCTGGTGCACTGCGTGTCACAAGGTCCCCAAACGACCCTCTGCAGGTTTTGAAATCAGAGTTGTCCTTCTCCAAGACCAATTGCCATCCAAGACTATAGATCTCTCCTGCTATTTATCCATAGCTGGAGGGAGAAGAAGAGGATTCATAGCCGAAGATGCTATTACCCTTGGGAAAGGTATTAGCACGTAAGTAGATGTAATGGAGTCGACTGGAGTTCGAACTCTTTATTCCTCAATCCAAGCCAATATCCATTACTCCACCGTGCCTCATATATATATATATATATATATATATATATATATATATATATATAAGCGTTTCACCCCAAGCAAGGCGTGAAGCCACTAGGACGCAAGGGTTTACAGAAGATTGGGAGTGCTAGAGGAAAGGATGAGGAGAAGGATAGTGGATAGATCACGGCAACTGGAGATGTCGATTGACATTTCATTTTCTCTCAGGGAAACTGGAATAGGGAAGGGAGTTTCACAGGCGAGAGGTGCGAGACATGAAGCTATTGGAGTAGAAGAGACGGCGGCATTTAATAGTTTCGTCTGTGAAAGGGTGGGAGCGAGATGCCAGCCTCGTAGGGCGCTTGAATTCATGAAGACTGGGAACCAACGAATGCAGCTCCTCGGAGTAATTACCATGAAAATATTATATATATCATTGAAAAATACATCCCTTCCCACGACGCAAACGTAGCAATAACTGATACATTAAATTATAGACATATTGAAAACCCAGCCACCCCTGTCTAGAGAAATAGATTTATCTGTAACCTTGGAAACATGAATTTTGTTTCAGCTGTGTATTTAAAGCCCAGTAATTTTAAAAAGTTACTCTTAAAATTCGCTTGAGGATGAAATGGAACTAATGTCTTTAATTTAATCACAAAATTAAATTCGGGGCTTTTAGCTTCCATTTTTGAAACATGGTTAGAACTGTGTAACGAAAAAAACATATTTTAAATCAATTATTTTATAATATTAATGCTCTGTAAATTTACATTGAGCACTATTTTGTAAAAATAAAAATATCTATAACACCGGATTATATATCTTGCTCTTCTTTATTTTTATTTATATACATACATATATATATATATATATATATATGTGTGTGTGTGTGTGTGTGTGTGTGTGTGTGTGTGTGTGTGTGTGGGATTGGCTGTTTATTAGTACGATATGGTCTTCTTAATCTTGAACCTTAAAGTATTATTGTTTATTTTATACAAACACTTTTACAAAATTCATATTCATATTATGTCCCGCGGAAATGGTTCCTTCTCTATCGAAATAACGAAGCTCTATTCAATGTCGCGACCAACAAGGGAAAAGAACTGCGTAACAATTTTCAAACAAATCATATAATAAGTAAATTTACTGATTCTTTTAGTTTCCGTGTTTCGCTCTCCGTAAAAAATAGCGGCTTAAGCAAAGAGATGCATCGAAGTAACAATGGCGGACGCTTCTGATTCGAGCACCTGGCCGCAAGGTAAGTAGATATATCCACTATGCCAAGCTTCGGCTGTTTAAACAGCACGGTAACATTAACATTAAATAGAAAAAGATAAATGAAGTAGAACGAAGGATACTACCTTCTGGCAAAATATATTTCGATCTAAGTCATTTAAGTACCGATATATACGCAAATGACACTGTCATTTTTGAGAAGATCTACGCATGTTAATATATATTACATTGGATCAATTGCTAGGTTTACGTCCAGGAAAGCTATTTCTCTGTGTCGTCCTAGACATGTTTTCTGGCCAGAAACTGTCTAAAAAAAAAGTCTACATTTCTGCCTTTGAATATTGCTGCTGTTTCTGGTCTGGTGATCCTGCTATATATTTAGATATTCTTGATAAAATCTAACGCGGTATCATCTTTTTCTAAGCATTTCACCCCAAACAAGACTCGAGTGCCACTAGCACGCAAGGGGTTCCAGAATGTGAGAGCATGAGTAAAGGTGCGTGTTTGAGGAAAGGATATAGAGTAGGACTGGGATCAGGATCAAGGCATCTGAAGATGTCGGTTGACATTACATTTGAATATTTGAAGGTTATATTTATCAGGGAAGCAAGTAAGAGGAAGGGAGTTCCACAACGAGAGGTGCGATGTAAGAAGCTGTTGCAGTAGAAGAGACAGATATATTTAACCGTTTCGATAAAATAATAATATACAGGTTCGAGGTTGGTGTATCTTATTGAAATTGTTTGCGAAGATGTATTCTCGCCATTTAAATCATTAACCTCTATATTTGTTTTTTGTATGAATGATTCATGTAATTATAAATTAAAATTGCACCTATAATTGAAATATATATATATATATATATATATATATATATATATAATAGAAATTAAGGAGGATTTGAGATAATCATAATTTTATAATTCATCGAGTCTAGAAGAAATCTCAACGGTCGCCTCGTCCTTCATATAACGATATGAGGCAAACGTTTATATCAACTGTACCAAAAGGTAACGAGTCAGACTCGATATAGCTCGATATATTCTATGGTGTAACTCATCCAAGTTTCCTTTACCCATAGGACTATTACTTTCTATCACCTGTATATCATTGCTTGGACCAGCTTCTAATGCTCTGGATAGGGCGGCTTGGGGATAGTATTCGTAGCTCTTGAGGGCACATATACAGGTAGGTAGATAGATAGCGACAGGCCCGATATATGTGATTATAGAAAAATAGAGATATGAACCATCTACGATCGATCGATAGATATATATGAACAGATTGTTAGAGATAAAGAGATAGACATACATACATACATGCAGAAAGGTAGATATGCAACGATAAATAGATATGAAAGTAGATAGATAGATAGATGTGAAAAGTATATATATATATATATATATATATATATATATATATATATATATATATATATATATATATATATATATATATATATATATATATAGATAGATAGATAGATAGATAGATAGATAGATAGATAGATAGATATAAATACATTGTGATAGGTAAACAAAGTGATAGTTAAATAATTATGAACAGATTGTGATAGAAATGAAAGTAAGATATGCAAAGATAATTAGATATGAAAGATAGATAGATAGATAGATATATATATAGATAGATAGATAGTTAGATATGAAAAGACTGAAAAACATAACTCATTTTCTCTGTTATAACTGCGGGCAATCCCAGGTATCGATGCAATTTGATCTTCCTTACCATAAGAAATGCATTTTCCCTGTTTAGTCCGAAATCTAAAAAGAGTTGCTTTCTCTACAAGATCATTTTCATAATTTCATTTCTTTTCCTATAAGCATCTATCAACAATCTCTGATAAAATGTAGGTAAATATTTGGGGCTAGCTCAATACAACAGAACAAAATGTTGTGCGCATATATATATATATACATACATATATATATATATATATATATATATATATATATATATATATATATATATATATGTATGTATGCGTGTGTGTGTGTGTATATGTATCCTTGCGTTTATATTAACGTTTATGTTTATGCCTGTCTCTAGTTGTCTGTGCATATGAACATGTATACATCTTTTCATTTTATCGTTATAAATCTAGACGAAACTCTAATTTACACACACACACACACACACACACACACACACATATATATATATATATATATATATATATATATATATATATATATATATATATATATATATATATAATTTAAATGTTTCTCTATCTCATTTGTTTCTATCACTATTTCATTTTTGTTTTTTAATTTTGATTCCTCTTCTCTTCATATTTTTCTCTGTATCTACTTTTCCTTTCCTTTTTCCAAACACTTGTCTCCACGCGATTCTAACCTCATAAATTCTTTTTCATTTTTCCTCTTCAAAATCGAATTTATTTCTCCGCATTTCTTTCTTTCTTTCTTTCTTTCTTTCTTTCTTTCTTTCTTTCTTTCGTTCTTTCTTTGTTTAGTTGTTTGTTTTTCTTTCTTTATTTATTTATTTATTTCATTCTTTCTTTGTTCTTTCTTTCCTTCTTTCTTTTTTCTTTCCTTCCTTCTTTTTTTCTTTTACTCTGTTGCCTACCTTATTTTTTTTAATATACTTTAGTTTGTTACCATTCTTTCTTTCTTTCTTTGTTTTTCTTTCTTTCTTTCCTTCTATCTTTCTCTCATTTTTTTGTTTGTTTGTTTGTTTCTTTCTTTTTTCTTTCTTTCTTTCTTTAATTATTTATTTATTTCTCTCATTCTTTCTTTATTTTTTCTTTCTTTCTTTCCTTCCTTCTTTCTTTCTTTCCTTCCTTCTTTCTTTCTTTTACTCTGTTGCCGACCCGCCTACCTTATTTTTTAATATCCTTTAATTTTTTACCGTTCTTTCTTTCTTTCTTTCTTTCTTTCTTTCTTTCTTTCTTTCTTTCTATTTCCCTTATATTTCTGTTCTATCTTCTTTTATCGTTATCTAATGTTTCCTTCTTTCTTTCTTTCTTTCTTTCTTTCTTTCTTTCTTTCTTTCTTTCTTTCTTTCCTTCCTTCCTTCCTTCTTTCTTTTTTTTACTCTGTTGCCGACCCGCCTACCTTATTTTTTAATATCCTTTAATTTTTTACCGTTCTTTCTTTCTTTCTTTCTTTCTTTCTTTCTTTCTTTCTTTCTCTTTCCCTTATATTTCTGTTCTATCTTCTTTTATCGTTATCTAATGTTTCCTTCTTTCTTTCTTTCTTTCTTTCTTTCTTTCTTTCTTTCTTTCTTTCTTTCTTTCTTTCTTTCCTTCCTTCCTTCCTTCTTTCTTTCTTTTACTCTGTTGCCGACCCGCCTACCTTATTTTTTAATATCCTTTAATTTTTTTACCGTTCTTTCTTTCTTTCTTTCTTTCTTTCTTTCTTTTTTAACTCAGTTATCTAGCTACATAGTTTAATTTTTTTTCTTTAAATTTACTCTTTTTTTCTTTCTTTTACCCTGTTACCTACCTAGCTACGTTTCTTTTTTTCTTTCCTTTTTTCTTTCCTTTTTTCTTTCTTAACTATATTATCTTTCTGCCTATACCTTTAGTTTGTTTTTTACTTGTTCGTTTGTTTGTTTATTCATTTCCTTCTTTCTTTCTTTCTTTCTTTCTTTCTTTTTTTCTTTCTTTCCATCGTTCTTTCTTTTTTCTCCCTTTCTTTTTTCTAGGTTTCTTTCTGCCTCCCTTTCTTACTTTTCTTTCTTTCTTTGTATACAGATTCTTTCTCGCCTCCCCTTCTTTTTAACCCTTTCCCCGTTATATCTTTCTACTTTTCCTTCTTCCTTCAACCTTTTATTTACTATTATAATTCCATCTTTATAAGGCGATCTATTCAATGTCCGTTGTTACATTCTTTAATAGAAATTCTGTAAGAACAGTTTTCTCTCTCCCACTCACATTCCTCAGTTGCTTTCATCCTCTCTACCCTCTCCTCTTGCCTTACATCTCAACCTCTAAGAGCTTCTTTCAAAGATTGTCCATCCTATACCCGCTTTAAATTATTTACGATATTAAATTAAATCAACATGCACATATTATTCAAACGATAGGAAAAAATAACGAAAGCGTCACTATCACAAACTCTAGGCAAACAGAAGCAAGCGTACACATTACAGACATATATATATATATGTATGTATGTATGTATGTATGTATGTATATATATATATATTATAGGTAGATTTACATATGAGATTTATAAAGAAATGTAAATGAAAAATAATAGTAAAATATATTCAAATTGATAAATAAGAAACATATAAAAAGAAGTTAAGTGCTCCGTACTTATCCAATAGTTTCCTCATGAATTCCACTTTTTAGCGTGTTTAAGAAAGAAAGAATTACTTCGAGAAAGATTCTTAAATGATAAAAGAAAAAAAAATACAATATGGACGGCAAATAACAACGAGAAAAGTACATGGACGTTGGTAAGAAGACAAAGAACAGATTAAACAATCTGTATAAATTAGGCATATGATCAATTTGTTGAACAAATTTACAATCACTGAATATTGGTTGAGATGGGGAATGGTGAGGGATGGATCGACAATTATGACGGAAGGGAAGAGAAGAAGAAAAACGATGGATGAGATGAAGAATGGAGAAAAGAAAAGTAGAAAGAAGATAGAAAATAAATAAATGTTTATAAAGAGACAGAAGAAGCAGGGAGGAAAGAAGAAAAAAAAAGGAAAGAACATTTGTGTGTGTAAAATAAAAGTACCAGATAAAAACAGGAAAGAAAGAAGGAAGAGTAGATTATTACAGAAAATAGAAAGAAAGGATAGTTTTTAGAAAGAAAGAAATGAACCAAATCGAAGGAAAATACGCAAATAGAAATAAAGAAAAAGAAAGAAAGAAACTATGATGGAAAACGATTAACGCAAGTTTAATGAATGAAAAAGAAAAAAAAGGCAAAGCAAGCATTTGAAAGAAAACAGGAGAAAGAAAGATTGAAATAAGACCGCGTTATAAAAAATAATGTAAGGAAGGGATGAAAGAAATATATATATATATATATATATATATACAGAGTGGCAATAAAGTCACGATACAGCTATTTACAATAGCAATTAAGATATGGTAATTAATCAACAGTCCAGAAATTTATAATTAAAATGGTTCTGGTTAATTCTGATTAATAACAATAAAATGGCATGGTAAACAATAGTAAATTAATTAGCGATATTGTTCAAGTTGCAAGGCACCTGCTTCAATGTTTTGCTTTTTTTATTATAAATAACTGTATAATGATCCTATTGTCAACCTGTATGTATATATATATATATATATATATATATATATATATATATATATATATATATATATATATATATATATATATATATATTATATGCATTCAAGTATCAAATGTTCTTTAAGATTTGTTTCATTCATTTTTTATTCTGCGGCTTTTCAACCTTCTGTTGGTTATTTCAAGCCAGAAAATGTTTTGGGATTGTAAGCATTTTTCTTCTTCTTGGTAGGGAGATAATAAGGATTTACTTAGACAAGTAGAACTAGTGAACACATAGCTGAGGTGGAGATGTGAATTCATACCATTCTCAAACGTATTGGCGCGTAAGTGAATAGAACGAACCCAATTGGAATTGGAACTCCGCTCTTCGATTAACTTTTTCGAACCATTATACGTTTCACCACGCACACGTCCAAGCTTACATCACCTGGTATTACCAAGCGGTCAGGACCCTCCTTGAAAAGAGACATATTTATCATAATAGATTAAAGTTCCTGGTCTTCTTGGATTCACAGGAATCCAGTTTTTTTGGACGGTGGGGCAAAGAGCCCAATGTGCCCAGCGTTTCTTTCCGTTTTCTAGAACACTCTTGCAATAATTTTGAACAATTCGGAATGCCGTCAGAAACTCAATACACCATTCTTTGTGGTAAAGTGTGTAGTAGTTGTCACCGTTGTCTTTGACCGCAGTACGTTCTATGGTGAACCAAGTTTGGCTATTTGGTTTATCTTCGTATTTTTTGGCGTGGTACAAAATTATCCGTACCTGAGAGGATCCATTCAGAGACTAGGCTGGCAATTCAGGAAACTCTGTATTTTAAGAAAGATGGGAGGGAAGCTACCACAATGTAAAATCAGAATCTGTTCCATAGCTGAAATAGCATAATAGTGGAAGCTTTCGGTTTGGTATCAACGCTAATTCTCGTCTGCAAGTGTTCAGTAGAAGCGAATTGAAACAGGAATATTAGCAGTGTCTTTGTCAAGGCAAGATTTGAGGAAGAGATATAAGAGTTTTGCGTGATCGGCCGATGTATCATGAACACGAGCGGCCTATTCAGTTATTAAGGTTTTCGATACATATGAACATAGTGAGAGGGTTAGCTAATGAACAGACTGAGATAGATAGATAGATAGATAGATAGATAGATAGATAGATAGATAGATAGATGAATGATGAACGGACTACGGATATATATATATATATATATATATATATATATATATATATATATATATATATATATATATAAAAGAGAGAGATATGAATGGACTGAGATAGATAGATTGATATGAAGACTGAGGTTACTTACTTAGCTACCTAGTTAGCTAGATAGACATATCGGTAACGATCTATCTCCAATAGCTAGATAGATAGATATGAATAGACTGGCATAGATATAGAAGGTTAGATAATTAAAAATAATCTCACATACATTCACACACACACGCACACACACATAGGTAGACATATCTCTCTCACACACACACACGTATATAATATATATATATATATATATATATATATATAGAGAGAGAGAGAGATAGATAGATAGATAGATAGATATGAACAGAAAGATATATATATATATATAAAAAGAGAGAGAGAGAGAGAGTGACAGAAAGATAGATATATAGATAGATCTTGTCAGAATTAAGATAAAGAAATAGAAAAAATAATTAATTCTAAATTGCGTATTGAAATAAAAAATAGCACCAATATTTAAATGAAATATAATGCTTTATCCTCTTAAAAATACGATACATGTATATATATATATATATATATATATATATATATATATATATATATACATGTGTATGTGTGCGTGGGAGTGTGCGCGCTTGCGTGTGTGTTCTCGCGCGCGTGAATTTCTGCGTAGTATATTGCTACCTCAAAACGTGGCCTGATTTTGAATTGGAGATTTCCACGTTTCCCGCTCACCCGCGTGAATAATCGGAGTTGGAGGATAAAGCCAATTTCTCTCTTATTGATATTCTTCCATCAACACGTTGAGCCAGGGTAATTTTTATAACCTGACATTTCTCCATTCAGCCTGCCACCTCACACAGCTTGGCTTAGAAAAAGTTAGATAGTCATCTCGTTACTCACTATTATAAATATACGAACTTACCTATTAATAAACGCAATTTCAGAGGATCCCAGAAACATAGTATGCATGACACGCCAAGTTTAGGGGTTACTATGGGTTAAAAAGCAACACCTACACTCCTGAGGACATGGTCAATCAGGGAGAGAATAGGTCCTGGATTTGGAACATAATCAATGATATTCTTTAATTTATCTTTCTGTCGTCCTGGGTGTGAGGATAAACTACATCCTGTAGCAAGGCCTCTGATTGGAAGATTGGAGCTTTTGAAGACCGTGGAACCACATCTTAACTGCTGTTGTTTCAAGATCGACCCTGACTCAGGGCGGTAGCACCAGTCAGGGTCCCAGCTCTAGGCATATAGTGAATCCCCAAACAATAATCAACAGTACATTTTATAATAAAATGAGCAAGAATAGTTTTTTTTATTGCAAAATGGTAATCAATGCAACGTTAAGAAGATATAAAAATTCAAATTTTATAGCAAAATTACCAACATTGCATATATGATCTCCAAAGAATCCAAGGACACATGGCACTGAGGATAAAGGCGTTGGTTAGATCCAGTGACAGGACCCAAAGAGTTTGAGTTCAATACCTGGTTGAGGCAGTGGAGAACTTGGAGAGTAGAATTAACAGATATATAGATCTGGCATCCATTAAATATGGTACGTGGAACTAGAACAGTCTACCCCAGTGAGCGAAATAAATGGTTCAGTTCGGCATTCCAACTACCTGCAAAAGGCCGGAGCGTACAACGGCCGAAACGTTGTAATAAATATGGCGACAAAGATGAGGGCAATAGTCCGAATAATATAAATAGTGTACATAATACCTCATCTCAAAAATATAGACAGATACTGATAGAACTTACGGTTACACCTAGCCAGTTTAACGGTGAATTGATGAGACATTACCCCCCCCACTATAATACCGCGTTAAAATTCAGAAAATCGTGGTAACATCGTGAGGAGACCATCCTAATGATTAACATGAAAGTACTTATCGAAAAGCCACAGGGAAGCTAAATTACGACGTCGGGAAAGTGACTGAAACCGATTTAAATTTATTTTATTCATGTTTATTTCGGAAATAAATATGAAATCATCATTTTTTTATAGACTTATAAGCATCTACTAAATTATTAAGATATATGAATCAACTATAAGGAAATCCTAAGTATTGAGCTTTTGATGACTTTCGAATTCATTGGCAAGTAGTCGATCGTTTGCCAACAATCGTAATAAAGCTATATAATAAATAAATAGTATAAATAATCTACTAAGTAAGTAGGATTTATTATTTTTCATTATTTATACTATTTATATTCGAAGTCTTGTTCTTATCTTTGTTGTTACTATCATACCATTCCGGTCGTTTTGCCCTTCAGTTGTATGACGATCTTCGTAACGTGAACTGGGAATTTTAAACTGAATTTACGGGAGTAGACTATTTTTGTTCTACTGCTTATATCAATGTATATAATCCAATTTTTGGTTTTATTTAGTACTTTTCAGTCATTTCTCGTCTGTTTCCAAGTGCTAGTACAAAAATATACAGAGTACGGTGGGAAAATTTCCGCTATTTTATATTTATAATTTTGCGCATGCGCGTTGTTTGCTTTAGATTTTGTCGACTGCACGGTATAGTAAGGGTCAGTAGGGCACCCTCTACGAGAAAAAAAGACCACTATGACGCAATTCCCTCCGCCAGAAATTTGGAAGCGGCATGCTGTACTGCTTGGCATTCGCGACGGAAGCTCCAATGCGAACATTTCAGATTGTTTTTGTGTTAATCTGAAGACAGTGCAGCGGACTCGGAAAGAATTGGATGGTATATCGAGTCAACATCATGGTGTTTCAAGAGATCACTAGTGATGTCGACGTTATGCCTTCATTCATCTCCCCACAAGGCCCCAGACTCAACACGGAGGCCTACATCGACTTGAGTAGGTTGTACCGTCCGGGGTCTAGAGGGTGGCTACTGGAAGACTCTATGTTTGGTAACAAGACTCTGCACCAAGCCACAAAAGCAGAAGGGCTCAGTTTTGAGTGTCAGATAATTTCTACACCAAACACCCCTTAAATCTTTCCATCTAACTTCTCAGAGTGCAACTCCCTTGATTATTCATGGGGTGCAGTTGAGAGAGAGAGAGAGAGAGAGAGAGAGAGAGAGAGAGACCCATACGATTTTTTGTAATACCAAAGATGAACTGAAGGCAAGGATTATGGCAGCATTCACCAACTTAAAGGAGACCCTCCAGTAGAGCAAAAGATTCTGAAGTCGTCTGGAGGCTGTGGTTGAAGCCAATGATGATTTTATTGAAGAAATTTACTCTTTAGTATTTCAAAATATTTTTGTCTAATTTTGATAAATATATGTTAAAATGTGATGTCACTTTCATTTTCATTTTTGTGTAATTTAGACGACAATTTATCTCTCGCAGCCTTGTAAGTCGTGTAAATAACTCCTCATCCCAGAAATTCAGATAAAAATTGTTTTGTTTTTTTGCTGTTAATTCTCAAAAACAAAGAAAACGTATAATTTCACTTTGATATGTTTAACTTTTATTAAAATACTAATCAGCGTTTTTTTTTTTTTTAACAATAAACAATGTCAAAAGATCGAAGGTAATTAAAATATTAGCGGTGTCAACGGAAAAACTTTCCTTTTGCCGCTCCTTTTTTTTTCTGCAGTTCAAATGTGCCATAAATTGAATCAGCTGAAAAAAATGCAATCACTATTTTTACTGGTTTATTACTGAATTTGTTGATAAATGTATCTTTCAAGTTATTTCACTTTATTCGCTGTCTTCATTATAAGTTGTAAAAGGCCAGGTCGTAGGATGACAAGGAGAAGATCAGAGCTTGTTAGAAACCGGAAGAATAACGCCAGGTCCTAGACGGGTGGAGGAGGGATACTTGGACGACGAAACGAAAGAGTAACCTCGGGTAATCTGCTGATGAAAAAAAAAGTCATTAAACACGACACTGTCATCTCGGACCACTTCAGTGTTGATATGTTATTCGCCGCTAAGAAAAGACGATGGGTTGCTTCTCCTGGTCTGCTCGACACTTACTGTTAACTAATTGGTATGGATCACTCCAGCAAGGCCCCATTAAACCACGGGCAGACCGTGATTCCATTCAAAAGTGGTGACCTTTCATCAACTTGACGAAAGCATTCGGCTGGTGGACAGGTCAAAGAGGAAACTAGCCTTAGTACTAAAACGAGTGGGAGAATAAAAGCCAATGCGTATAATTACGATGGATCGTGACACATCGTTATTGCATAATTAAGTAACTATAAAGATATTAACACATGCATATATATATATATATATATATATATATATATATATATATATATATAGCGAAATAGAGCGAAAGATATATTGAAAGTAGTTGAGAGGATGGGCGATTGTGAGTAACTAACAGAAAAAATAGAAACAAGAACAAGACGAACGGGGACAAACAAAGAATAAAACAGACAGGAAAAAGAAAGAAAGAAAGAAAGACAAAAAGAAAGAAAGAAAGAAAAAATGAAAGAAATATTTGGAAAAGAAAGAAAGAAAGAAAGAAAGAAAGAAAGAAATATTCGTAAAAGAAAGAAAGAAAGAAAGAAATATTCGGAAAAGAAAGAAAGAAAGAAAGAAATATTCGGAAAAGAAAGAAAGAAAGAAAGAAAGAAAGAAAGAAAGAAAGAAAGAAAGAAAAAAAGAAATATTCGGAAAAGAAAGAAAGAAATATTAGGAAAAGAAAGAAAGAAAGAAAGAAATATTCGGAAAAGAAAGAAAGAAAGAAAGAAAGAAAGAAAGAAATATTCGGAAAAGAAAAAAAGAAATATTAGGAAAAGAAAGAAAGAAAGAAAAAAAGAAAGAAAGAAAGAAAGAAAGAGAGAAAGAAACATTCGGAAAAGAAAGAAAGAAACGAACATTCGGAAACGTAAAAAAGAAAGAAAGAAAAAAAAAAAGAAAGAAAAAATGAAAGAAATATTCGGAAAAGAAAGAAAGAAAGAAAGAAAGAAAGAAATATTCGTAAAAGAAAGAAAGAAAGAAATATTCGGAAAAGAAAGAAAGAAATATTAGGAAAAGAAAGAAAGAAAGAAAGAAAGAAAGAAAGAAAGAGAGAAAGAAACATTCGGAAAAGAAAGAAAGAAACGAACATTCGGAAACGAAAAAAAGAAAGAAAGGAAGAAAGAAAGAAAGAAAAAAGAGAGATATGTACGGAAAAGAAACACTTCTTACCGTCTTACCCATCAACCAATACACCTTCCTTTTTTTATATTGTTACCTACTCACTAACCTTCTCTTCTTTCTTTCTTTCTTTCTTTCTTTCTTTCTTTCTTTCTTTTACACTATTACCTACCAACCTAGTTACCGACCTAGCTCTCTACCGGCCTTTCTTTCTTTCAACCCTTTCTTTCTTTTTTACATTGTTACCTACCCACTAACCAACTCTTCCTATTTTAGTTAATCAGCTAGAAAGAGGACAGGTTAACATCGTTTTGTGTCATCCCCACAATGTCTTCTCAACTGAGCAACTATGAGAAAAAAAACAAAACATCCAGGCCTTCAGTAATATTCAGGCCTTCAGTAATAATCCAATATTCATAGTCTGGCTTCCATCTTCAAAGTCCATTCAAGAACTGTCAACAGAACGGTGAATAAATTTTAAAAAAAGAGGGAACAGTAGAGAGGAAAACTGGATCAGAAGGTCACAACAGGAAGAGGGATAATCATTTCAGCTTAGAGTTAAAGAGATCAATTAGAAAAGATCCAACTCAATCTGTAAGATGTTAGGCACGTGAGAGAGGAGTTTCAGTTATGACAGTGCAAAGACCAGTGAAAAATACTTGAAAATGAAATCGTACGTGAAACATGTGAGCCAACTTTTTACTCCAGGACAGAAAGTTAGAAGGTTAGAGAGGGGGAAGTTCATCTTGAATAAATTGAAAAAATGTCCTGGAATACTATATATATATATATATATATATATATATATATATATATATATGTGTGTGTGTGTGTGTGTGTGTGTGTGTGTGTGTGTGTGTTTTTGAACTTTATTTCAATCCTTCATAAGCTTCCGATCTTCGCTATGATTAATTAATGATGAACATGTCATTTTCGCTTATGATCGATTTCATCAAGCTTAGAGAGTAATTATACATTCTTGCAAAAATCAGATTTTCGTGTTTCTACCAATGCTCAGATGAAAATTTCATTTTCTGCCTTTGATAGCAGTTTACTTTGTAGGAAATTCCGCTAATTTTCGACGGAGACGGATCTAGGTCTATCTTTTAAAAATTGGAAAGACGCCTAGAATGCCCAGGTAACAATTGGTAGGGTTGTGAAAAAGATGTTTTTCGTGACGAAGCAGAACAGATGCGTGTAGTAGCTGTTTCGTTTTCTTAACACGGTCCCTTTTTAAGTGCAAAGTACTATCATATTTTAACCAGGTGGGTGAAAACAACAAGATTCACTTAAATCTCTCGAGCAACCAACAGGAGTTAATGCTTCGTCTGACAGTTTCAAAGGAAATGATTATATAGATACAAAAAAGAGAGGTAGATACGAAAAACTGAGAATCACCCTTTACCTCTCCGATATATTCTCATGACAGGCGCTTGTGGCGCACTCTTTGAACGCCCTTAAATCAACATCATTTGGTGACCCACTACGGTAAGTTGTTCTTGAGCTTTGTATTGGGGGAATAATACTAAAAAAAGTCACATTTACAAAGTTATCCAAGGGAATAGGCAGAGGCCAATACAGCTTGACATCGCTGGATTTGTTCAAACGAAACTGTAAATGAAATCGGACCTCTTTCATGGACACCGGCTCCGGATTTAAATTCAGGGTTGTTCTTAAATTCAGGGTTGTTCTTAAATTCAGGGTTGTTCTTCTCTCAATCTGGTCGCCAAACATGGCTAAAGAGCTTAGGATGTCCTGCTATCGGCTCATATTTGGAGCTTTTGAATTCATATTTTTTTCTTTTCTTAGGACGGTTACCACCTAAGGTTATAAAATCTAGTCTGTCCTGTTGTTACGAGGATGCATTTCTACTGAGTCCTACTTGTTATTACAAAAAAGTTTTCTTTCATGAAGTAAATATAAAACAGGGAAATTAGAAATAGAATGTTTGGAAGATTGTAGATCATTCTAGTATATTCGAGAAGAATTTAGATGATTCGAGAAACATAGAGAAATATGCAAATTAGGTGTTAGCCCCTATAAAAATGGGATTTTGGAAAAGGGTTGTCAGTTGTGGAAGGGGAATCTTTGCTGTTATTAACTCCAGCTTTTGATTCGAGGATTATTCTATCCAGCCGAAAGAATCTCTATAAAAAGTTGCCGACCAACAAAAACCCAAAAAAGAATTTCATGGAACAAATTTGGTAAATAGAATTTTGACGAATTTTCATTGACCAAACAAAAAATTAATATTTATTTACACACCTTTTTGGATTACCAAATATAGCACTTAGATTACTTCGCTAGCCCTAAAGTGATAAAGATATTTGACTCACCTTCCTCCTCTCTCGTAACACTTCGCCAGTAACTCTGTGTTTATTGTTTTGTAGGCCACAATTGTATATCTTGTATATAATTTATGTCGTGTTTTAGTAAATTAAATATTTGTTTGTGATTTAGCTCTGTGTTGTGGTAAATCATTTTTTTTCCTTTGGTTGCAATTATCAACACGTAACACTGTTATTTATCAATAGTTTGAGGTTTTATAAATTCCAAATTTTCTTAGCCTAGACCGGTTTCCCCATAAGGATAAAGAATCCAATCTGTTCTGCTATTTATCCATAGCTAGGGGAGAAGAAGTGGATGCATATATTTCCCAAGGGTATTTGTAGGTAAATAATAATGTAACTAAACCGACTGGGATTCGAACCCTGCTCTCCGAGTACTCATTTCGAGACGACGTTAATTACGGGCATTACAACGCACATTCTATATTTTCATTACGTGTTCAAAATAATGTTTCGAGCAAGCCTTTATACTCATCATTTCCTTTCATATACATTTATTGTAAATTGGGAAAATTCTTCCTATTCAATTTCAGACAGAGTAAGAGACCGTCCTTCCTTCGCACCTAATGAAATGTCGGAAATTCTTCTAATTTTCAGCGGATACGGATCTAGGCCTATCTTCCAAAATAGGAAAGATGCCTAGAATGTCTAGATAACAATTCGTAGAGCTGCGAAAAGGATGCCCTCCCGACGAAGCAAAACAGGTGAATTGTTGACAATAGTAGCCGCTTCGTTTTATTAAAAGGTCTCCTTTTAAGCCTAAAGCACAATCACAATTTAACCAGGAGAAAACAAAATTCAGTTAAATCTTCCGAGCAATTAACAACAGTGCTTCCACCCCGAAGCAGAGTTAATCGCTGGTAACTTTTATTTTCCACAACTTAGACAACTTTTACTCATCTATTCTGAAAAAATTAAACCATGCCTGTTCAGTATATAATGAAGTGTACAACAAATTGCATTACATGTAGACAAGTTATAAACCTTTAATTTATTATTCAGACAAACTTTTTTCTCTCGCCTATTCTAGAAAAATTTAATCATGCGCGCTCAAGATATCATGAAGTGTACAACAAATTTCGTTACATGTAGGCAAGTTATAAACCTATAATTTCTTCTCAGAACAATTTTTTGTCTCATTTATTGTGTGAAATTTAACTTTATTTCTTATTTTTACATTTGAATGTGGTTTTATTTCGCTTGCAAAGCTATAAAAAGCATTTAACCCCAATTTACTTTCAATTACTATTTCAGCGGTTCTTGTTGATATTGTTATAACTGGATATTTAAATTGTTAATAACTTTGTTGACATTTCTGACTTGTTATGTCATTAAATGAATTTTAAATTAATTTTTTTTTTTTGATTTTCTTTAGTTTCAGAATTTTTTGATGCACGTGACTTTTGTCCTTTTTAGTTATTTTTTCATCATTTCATTCCTGGTTACTTGATTTTATTTAATTACTTGATTTCTTTCTCTGCTAAGAGTGGAATTATTGCCAACATATTCAAATTGTTATTGTTTTTATCTTCAGTTTTTGTTTTTATTAAATGCGTCTCTTGTTTTGCAAAGTCTGGTCGAATTTTATACTCTTTTTCTGAATTTCTATTCAAAATGTTTTGCGTTATCAGTCTATCGTCTTGACAGAGAGAAGAACTTTTTAAAATTATCTCTAATAAAAAATGCATTATTTTTTTAAAAATTTAATTTTACTTTTTTTTTTGTTATTCCGTTACAGCCTATTATCCAGTCTGAGATTTCATTATCATAAATACATACATGTATATATATATGAGATACCCGCACCCCGGTTTTTAAGCATGCGTAAAGATTTATCACATGTTTCTTGTTTAGGATTGCCTTCTCAGTTCCTTTTAACGTCTTCTCTTTCTCTTTCATGCCCAGTATCCCCTTGCGTCTTAGAGGCATTATCTCCTTACTTAGCATAAATTTATCAAATTATATATATAAGTATATGATAATATATATATATATATATATATATATATATATATATATATATATATATATATATAGGAGAAATTTACATTTATACATTCTTTTATATATACAAATGTTTAAGTAAATGCTCTCTTTATAATAAACAGTATTAACAACATTTACCGGCCTGAATAGCCGAGAAATTTTAATAGAAAATATGCGTAGGGTATTCAGGACGGTAAATGTTATTAATACTGTAAAAAATATAAAATGGATTAAAATAATTGTCGGACTTTGTCCATTCCATTATATATATATATATATATATATATATATATATATATATATATATATATATATGTGTGTGTGTGTGTGTGTGTGTGTGTGTGTGTGTGTGTGTGTGTGTGTGTGTGTAAGCAAATATATAGATATAGATCCGACAGTATGAAGAA